CCCCCCCCCCCCCATCTTCTCCTAACCAAAGTATAATCTTTAAAACCTAATTGTACGGAAATTGAGTTGAAATCAACTCAAAAGAACTGCTTTTTTTCTTTTTTTTTAATACCAGGAAGCAGGTTCATGGATTCATGAAGTACTTTTCATTCAGTTTTCTCTGGGCTCTTTTTCAATGGTTTTATTCTGGGGGAGACAAATGTGGATTCTCACAGTTTCCTACATTTGGATTGAAAGCTTGGAAAAATTCGTGGGTGCTCAACATCTTGCCCCTTTGCGTCTTCTTTCTCCATACTTGGAATTGGTTTTTCTCCCTCAAACTGACTGCCCAAGTATTTTGCAGGTTCTACTTTGATTTCAGCTTGACTTATATTGGAGCAGGGATGATATGCTCCCATATTGTGAACTTGTCGTTGCTTCTCGGTGCGATTCTTTCTTGGGGCATAATGTGGCCCTTAATGGAGGAACTTAAAGGGGAATGGTATCCTGGATCTCTTCCACAGAGCAGTATGAAAAGTCTCAATGGTTACAAGGTACGAAGTAGGAAATGGGGCGTTTCTTTGACATCATGGACATCATTATTGAAGTCTATGCTGAATTATTTTTCTTGTTCCCTTGTTTGGTACAGGTGTTTGTATCAATTGCTCTGATACTTGGAGATGGGCTTTATCATTTCCTTAAGATTCTGTATTTCACTGCCTCGAGCATGTATGCAAAAGCAACCAACAAGAAGCTCAAAACATGTAAAATGATATGATTCTATATGTTGTTTCCTTCAATTTGTCTGCTCAATCTTAGCATGAAGCTAAGTTACCTCTCACCACTTGCAGCACTGTCCACTAAGCATAGTGCATAATGCTGCAACTTGTGTCGGGGGATAGTAGCAGATGTGCCAATTTCCGCGTTTCATTTAATTAATTATGACATAGTGCGTACATGTATGCAGTCCCGGATGACAACCTGGTTCAAACTTTTGATGATCATCGACGAAATGAAGTATTCTTAAGAGATGGTATTCCAATATGGGTGGCAGTTATAGGGTACGTCTGCTTCTCCATCGTCTCTATCATCGTAATCCCGATCATGTTCCCGGAGGTGAAATGGTATTACATAGTTGTTGCCTATACTTTGGCGCCTTCTCTTAGCTTTTGCAATGCATATGGTGCTGGTCTAACTGACATGAATATGGCATATAACTACGGAAAAGTGGCTCTGTTCGTGCTTGCTGCCATGGCTGGTAAAAATGATGGTGTAGTTGCAGGACTTGTGGGATGTGGTTTGATTAAGTCTATTGTTTCCATCTCCTCTGATTTGATGCATGATTTCAAGACTGGCCATCTCACACTTACATCTCCAAGATCCATGCTTGTAAGCCAAGCTATTGGGACAGCGGTAGGCTGCATTGTAGCTCCTCTCACATTCTTTATATTCTACAAGGCTTTTGATTTGGCCGACCCAGATGGTGAATATAAGGTCCCATATGCCATCATATACAGAAACATGGCTATCCTAGGAGTTGAAGGCTTCTCAGCTCTGCCCCAGCATTGCTTGCAGCTATGTTATGGGTTCTTCGGCTTTGCCATAGCAGCCAACATGATGAGAGATTGTATCCCTGCAAAGTTTGGTAAATGGATCCCACTACCGATGGCCATGGCTGTGCCTTTCCTTGTTGGTGCATATTTCGCAATTGATATGTGCATTGGTAGCTTGATCGTGTTCGTGTGGCACTATCTAAATAGTCAAAAGGCAGGATTGATGGTTCCAGCCGTTGCCTCTGGTTTGATATGTGGAGAAGGTTTATGGATTCTTCCTTCATCGATTCTTGCCTTAGCTAAGGTCCATCCCCCAATCTGCATGAGCTTTTTCCCTTCCAGTAAAAGTTGAATCTAGAAAGAGAGTATTAAATATAAACTTTGTAGTATAGATAGAATTTTATGCATAACTCAAGATGTAGAGAAGCTGCAAACTCTTGTTGTATCCTCCTGTATTAATTAAAGCTTAATAAAATATTTTATGGAAGAATTGAATCAAACTGCATCAACAAAACATATTCTTCACCTTGATATTGGCATGCATTCTCATAACACTGTTGCAAAGTATTATCCTCCTCTACTAAACAAATTTATTTTAAAACCAGTCGTTCACATAGAAGCATGGTTCCACGGTGCCCACCATATATGATTGACCTGTTGTCGTTGAGTTCATCAGTGCATGAGTCACCATCACTGAATCAAAGACATTTCATTTATGTTGTTCAATTGTAATTAGAATACTCCTAGACTAAAATCTGTTTATTTTGATGTCAAGGGGAAAAGAGCGTGAACTTCATGAAGGCAACTCATTGTGGAAAGGGAAACTGCCGGTTACTATGGCAAGACTATCACTGAGCAGATGGAACGCAGCCAAATGATAACTTCGCAGCAATGGAGACGTTTAGAAAATGAAATGAATTTATGTCAATCAACTGATGTTCAGCTTCAGTAATTAAAAACATTGATATGTTGAATTGGTTATTTCATTGATTTTATTGAAAGAAGCTTTTTGAAAAGTATGTCGATTACAATGATGCAGACTACTCACATACTGTTAAACTAAAGAAAAGAGTTTGGTGGATAAGGATCCTTGACTGCGTGTGAGCAACCAAATACTTAGCATAGATAAGACGTACGACATAAGATGCGGTGGATGACAATGGCTTTAAATTCGAAGGCTCTGTCTCACACACTTCAAGAAGTGGCAATAATTCTAAGGCTCACATTTTAAGAAGCGGTGAAGTGCAACAGCAAGACACAGAAGGGTATGACTCATTTACTTTGTCAACCTCTTTTCAAAAATGTTTAAATGATGAATACTGAATAGAGTCAAACAGAAAATCTCAACCAAATTCCTGCAGAAAGCTCGCAACTGACCTTAGATGCCAAAGGCAAAGAGGTAGAGCTAACAAAAATTGAGCCCTATGAAGTGAAACAAACGAACTTCTAAGCATAGTTAAGATATTGAAACATAATTTAATTTATAAAGAGCCAAGTTATACTTAAGATTAGCTAGCAGTAGAGATGATCAGTTTGAAGAATCACAAGATGGAACTTCTCAAAGGCTAGAAACTAGATTTAGGAATAAAGCTTGGACAATTCAGCAAATGGACAACGAGTTCAAGTGAATAGAAGCAGAGAACACCTACCCAGTTGATGGAACAACTCACCGTTGATTTAAGGCTCCTGGCAGTTCATTCTCCTACTCGCTAACCAAATACTTGAGTGTGAAGGCACTGACCCAATGTTGGTGGAGCAAGATCCTTTTTCTTTGTGTTTCATCAGTGAATGAAAATCTCCAACGTTTCTCTACTTGCTTCGACATCAACCTCTAGATAACAATGCTGGACCCACACGAATAACGTGTTTTTTGCAAAGTTCAGCTTGCTTAGCATAATTAACTCAATGTACTTAGACATCCCCAAGTTGATCTTTCCCACTCATCACAACATATATTATTAAGCTCAACACTATGACTACGCTCAACAAAACCCCATGAACGAGTTCAGAGCTTCTTCTGGGCATCTCTTTCATTGATGACGCAGATCCAAAACACTTTTTTATTTTTGCAAGATATTTGGTAGGAACTAAGAGATCTGATCTCGGAAAGATATCGACTAAAATTCTTGAATATAGACTTTGGTTAACTAGAAACAGATTACATGAACCAAGTTCACAAAAAAACCAACCCAACAATGTAGACCAGAAGTTATTACTCCAGCTAAACGTACACCAATGACCTAATATTTTCTACTTTTTCAAAATTCATTCTCGTGCTTGTCGATAGGCTACTCCCATTTTCAGCTATTATGCAGCCACTCTGAAACAGATCAAGGTGAGGATGCAATGTTATGCAAATTATAGTGATTCATCATTAAAATCCGTCACTACAACTTGAGTGAGCTTGAGTGAGCTACAAGAATGTGAGCAAAAGAAACATCTGGCTACCCCCTTGAATAAGAGCCAAGAGAGCTGCACTTTCTCTGAGCAGAAGCCTAGATACGGGTCCAGGAAGAATGGCACGTAAACCAACAACCCAACAATTGGGCATTTACTCGTTAAATCGAGGTTTCTATCTTCTCATGGAGGGTCACCACCAAATCATGAGCACCGTCCAATAGTTTCCATACATCAAGTTGCCCGGCCATACTGTTACACTCCCTTATTATTTCGTCCATGCTGTTGTATTTCTCTATAATCAACTTTCTCTTCTGCAATACCGAGGCAGCAATTGCGTAGAGCAGCAGATCCTCCGTGGGTGGGGCTCGTTGCCTAATCCTGCTCCAAGCTGATTTACCTACACCAGCTCTAATAGCTGCCTGATCAGCCCACATCACCTCCCATAGGCACAGTGTCTGTTCAAATGTTAATTCCCTTCTAAAGAGTACCACAACCATCCTATAAACAAAAAAGCAATCCTCCGCTTCGAGATTTTGCAGGTGTCTGTAAAGGTGAGAGTCCTTGAACCTGATGATCCTAGATACAATGTTCAGTTGCTTTCGAATCCCAACCTCATCAAGCCTAAAATTATGCCGAGCTTTCCGCATGAACCCTACAAAGCACCAGAATGCCTCATGATCTTCAGTTATCACGGTAATTATAGGAGAAAGCAGATCACTCATTCCTTGGCAATACCCAATTTCAGGATCATAAAGAGCATATGCTTCAAGAATGGTGACCAACCTAGAAGCATGAAAGATCCTGGATGACTCTAGGTGATCGTAATCTTTCAAACCAACAACCTCAGCCAAATGCCTAGCCTTATCATCCGATACTGCTGCTTGGGATGGTGCATATGCTATCCATTCTGCATTTGCACGCACTGCATCAAGACGGATGATCCGCTGCCATGTTGTGAAGTCTTCATTACTGCGAAATTTGGATGTAACCTCAACCAAGGGAGACAAATTTTTGGAGGTGAAATCAGGATCATTATCTTCTCTACCATCAGAGGAAGGGAATGTATGACTAACTTCAGGATCCCCAGACGAATCTGAGTCAGATGATTCAGTATTTAGAACAGAAGCATCAGCATTTGTCATCCCTCTAGAACTGTCATCCTCTTCCAACAAAACCCCCGAGTTTAAACCCCTTTCATCACTAGAAATTGATTCTCTAGCACTTATCACATCTCCCAAACTAGGAGAGTCATCACCATGAGCAACATGCTGATTGTCCCCCTCCTTGTTGCAGCAGTTCATTGAAGAGTCATCACCATGAGCAGCATGCTGAATGACCCCCTCCTTGTTGCAGCAGTTCATTGAAGAGTCATCACCATGAGCAGCATGCTGAATGACCCCCTCCTTGTGGCAGTTCATATCATCATCATTCAACTTTATACTCTCATCCCCAAACTTCAGTAAAGATCGGCATTGTTTGCGAAGCCTTTCATATTCTTTCCTGCATTATATATGTACCACCTTAAAGTTTAAACTGCCAACTCAGAGCACAGCTATAGGTGGATAAAATACCCCCCACCAACTTATCCAAGAAAAATAGAATTAAATAATATTAGCACTTGACATATACCTCTTCTGTACTCTTACAGCATCTCTTTCTTCTTCAGAACTGGTCAAGTCATAGCTGTTGAAAACATTAGTAGTCATGTCAATACACATTTTGCACACAGCACGATTTTGAACAATACCAAGCATCACAAACACATAGCACAGTAGTACAGCAGGCATATATAGCATGACATGAATCTTCAAAATGAGGGTGTCGCTATGACTAATCCTATAGAAAAGTTAACAAAATATGTATACAGTTTTTTCTTTTGGTAAGAAAAAACTGTATACATTAGTAGTCATGTCAATACACATTTTGCACACAGCACGATTTTGAACAATACCAAGCATCACAAACACATAGCACAGTAGTACAGCAGGCATATATAGCATGACATGAATCTTCAAAATATGTATACAGTTTTTTCTTTTGGTAAGAAATGGTGAATGTATTACGACAAAAAAGGCAAACAACCTAGGGGCAGGTGTAGACGAAACCCAGCCTAAAAGACTATAAACTGTATGTAGAAAATAAATAAAAGATCTTTTTTATAAAAAGATTAAAAAAAAAAAAAAAAAAAAAGAGGAAGGAAAGCAGAATGGCAAGCACGCAAGTTGGAGAAGATGACCCACATTCCTTTCTTTTTTAACAAATTTGAAGCTAGTCAATTTCACTAGTGTTATTCTTTTTATTTAATTTATATTGAGGAATTTTGGAGAAATTTGGAATATCCTCGAAGACCCGAAACAAGCTCAGGAAGTATACAATCAACTAAATAACCATATGGAGCAAGTCGATTAGGATTGAAGACAATGATTGAGTATTATGTTTAGGAGCCTAGTTCGACCTAGTTTAATGATAACTTGGATTAGATAATGTGAAAAGTTTAAAAAAAGTCCTACTTACATCTATACAGCTTCCGCTCGCATGGTTGTGAACTCAGATAGATCATTAGGCTTTTATGCTTTCCAGATTGTTGAAGTTTGATCATTATCACTTCATGAGCATGACTGACATGTTGTATGCCTTCCTACGTTTATTATGCATGATTTAGGGTTTGGATAACCAGTTATTGCCCAGTAATGAATTTGACTATTGCTATGTGTCAGAGTGCTGGCTATCGTGGTATCCATAGACTATGAGTTACTGTTTCATGTATTTTGGTCCTAGTACTTAGTCATGAATTCCATAGCCTCCTTCGATTGACTAGGTACCTTGTAGGAACGGATAGGGCATAGCCCCTATTTGTGAACTAACCAACAGTGGTTAGGGTCTACTTGTTACACATGACTTAGTTGTCACCCATAGAGGATTTCGGGAGTCATAGAGGGTATACTACTGAAGTACTTACGGTGGTGCCTAGTGGGGAGAGTCATGGCCTTTTTACTGTTCCAGCCTAAGTGGCGTAGTGACAAGTAGTTTTACTATTCTAACCCGATGAGGGTACATGAGCAGGTACTTTTACTGTTCTAACTCAATGAGGGTACATGAGGAGGTAGTTTACTGTTCCAGCCTAGAAAGGGCATAGTGACATGTAGTTTACTAATCGTAGGAACAGGTAAATGTTGCCGGCACCACTAAGGAGAATCCACTGATTAAAGCTCAGTAGGTAGACATGTATGGAGTACAGTCACCGTTCAGAGCAAAAAGGGCTCCTCCTGGACTTATGAGTATTACCTTAGGGCCTTTCCATTGGCCAAACGACTCGAGGCACACTTTGCGCAAGACTGACGAAGGACCTAGACATAGATGAAACCTAGAGCCAAGAGGAAACAAAAAACCCTAGGTTGTGAACCTGAGAGGGATTGAGTACTCCTTAAAGGAGGTATGCTGAAAGTTAGTTACACAGCGACCTACAAAATTTGGTATAGACGTTAAGCCACAGTTTGGCTACCGCTATGAGCACATAACCATGTTTTTGTGTGTAGGATTAAGTCTGACAAGAGCCTACAAGTAAGTTGATTACTGAGTATTTTATACTCATCCCATGTTATTCTATTTTTTTTCCAGATGGAGTGTAGACCACTATTGATGACAGGAGCGTGCGGAGCCGTGCACCTGCAGGGGGTGCCCTTCAAATCGAGTCATCTTCTTTCTTGTCATTACATAATTATTTTAAATGCTATTGCTCGAATATTATCTTTCTTGTGTCAGTTTTGAATGCATATTTAAATTTTAAATTTCTTGAGTCTCCCGTTTTACAAAAGAAAATTTTACTGCCATCTTTTTTTCTTATGCAGGAATGGCTCTACACCCTTCAATGTTTGCGTGATACAAACCTAGTAACATAGTCTCTCCAATTATCGCAGATCATCGATTCCAAAACATCGTGATCGTGTGAACAACAAGCAGAACTTCCAACCTTCATTATACTTCAGTATTGCAGACATGCCAGGACAACCTTCTATGTATATTGGGGCATGAGACTCGTTGCTATTATAAAATACAGATCGGATGCGTAGTGCTTAGTAAGAGAAAGGGATGCTAACTAGGGGTGAATCTCCAAGAGACATCTAACTGGCACGGATATGCAATAAGAAGAGGATGAGATCTTAAAAATCATGATGATGGTATAATAGCAATAATAATGAACTAGATAGACACGTTTTGGCTAAGCAAGAAGAGATGATCAAGGAGTTCCTTCTTCATCTTTTTTTTTCCAAGAAAGGAAAGTTTTTGTGGCAAGTTGGGATGTGTTCTAACTTTGAGGAGAGAGGTACAGTAGAATTTTTTGAGGACTTTAGAGATCACCGTTGGTCCCTTGTTAAAGTCGATGTTTATCTTTGGCTTTGGTGGCAAAACCTTTTTACAATTAACTTTCAGGTCTTATTTTGCTTGACTTGAGGCCCTACTTGTGGTGTTTTTCCCTTTGTGGACTCCCCTTTTGTATTCCCTTACGATTCTTTATTTTTTTCCATCAATGAAAGCTCGGTTATTGATCAAAAAATAAAATAAATAAACAATGAACTAGATGGAAAGAAACTTGTGCATCAAATCACTCCTTTCTTGCCCACAAACAATGATTGTAAGGATAAAAGAGCAATGTAGAGAAGACCATACAAATCTATACACAAGACCCAAGAGCAAGAAATTTATGTTTTTAACTCCAAAACCTTTAGAGAGGGAAACTTTGGAAAAGATCAACAAGCCAGCCTAGATATTTTCAAGCTCATTAAGATTACATTGGTCACACAATCTGAGGTTCTGAGTTAAAATAGCTCATATATTTGGTTTAAGATGATGCACTTGATAGGAGCCAGAAGAATCAGCATTCTAGCCATATCCCTCATGGACTAAAGAACTAAAATATTTTGTACATAAAACAAGAGAATAAGCATATGCAAGATCACGAAAAGAAGGGGGCTGGGGATTCACTTACACTCCAAGAAGGAATGGCCAGACCTCTGCTCTAATACTTGGATCTACACCCTGGTAGACATCATCAGATCAAAATCTAATGGGTAAGTACCTCAAAGTTATGAAAGAAGAAACTTATTCAACGCTGGATAGAAAATGCACGAGACAAAAGGATTTATACTCACTCCACTCCGAACTTTTTTTAAAAACTTAAGGCCGCCATCTCGAAGTTTCCCATCTGGCGTATACAAACTCCTCCATTGTTGCGGTGAAAGTGCGTGCTTTCTTTTCTTGCGTGACCAAGGCGATTTAAGGCGTCCCCTAAGACATGGTTAATACAGCGAAGTCAATTCATTTTTAAATTTATCCAATGAAATGGAATACCCTCAGCACGATACACAATTACCTATATATGTACCTCCTTCTAAGGAGGACAATGACACTAATAATTCACCAGTTACAGCTGAAAAATAAAAAGATGCCTAAAATGATAAAGTACTCTGAATAACCGAAGCAAACTGGAGATTTAGATAGTAACTTCACAATGTAAGAAAGGAACCTAAATGTGAAGGAAACTAGATACTCCAGAAATGTAAAGGAGACATGGTACTGAGACGACCTAAACACCTAGATTGAGCAAAAGATCAACCCTAGAAAAACGACCAAAACCCGAAATGGCCAAGATCCCTGTCGAAAACTAGGTTTATGCTTAATTTTGAGCTGAATAAGAGAAATGGGAAGCAAAAGAGGAAGGAAAGAGAGACTCACCGATCAGAGGAGGAAGAAGAAGCCGGTGAAGAAGAAGTAACAACGAATAGAACCGAACGCAAATGAACCCATGACGACGAGGCTGACGACAAGGAAGATGAAGAAGGAGGAGAATTGGAATTCGGATCCGGAGACGATGGAGTTGGAGTTTGTTTAAGAGCTCTCATCTATGGAAAATTGACTAGTGGGCATAAAGGAATTGGGGTTTGGTAAATTCCCCTGTTTACTAGCGAATGAACCCCTTCTTTGTGGCCCCCTTAGAGATGAATGTGAAATTGTGGGAAGAAAAGATTGCTATGGGTTTTACCTACTGGCAGAGTAGAAGAGAACGACGACCACAGCGAGGCCCGCCAAGGCCGTGACCGCGACGGCTGCATTCGGCCGTGCCCCCGCCATCATCCGGGAGACGAAGCCGCCGCCGACGCCGAAGGAGCGGGCGATGTCGGTGCCGGAGGCGATCATAGAGGGGAAGAAGATGCAGATCGGAGCTTCGTTGGCAATGGGTTATCCTTTAGGAGAATGAATCTAAGAGAGGCTTGAAGTATGGTTGGGGGCCAAGAGCATGGAGTTGGCTTTTTCCACGTACGAGAAGGGAAGGAGAGCAAGTTCCTTTTGTATATGCCGCTTTGTCTCTCTCTAGATGCAGAAAAGGAGGAGAGAGAAGAAGACGAAGACGAAGACGAAGACGAAGACGAAGAAGAAGAAGAAACACTCAGAAGTGGATTACTCCGTCAAGTGTCTCATCCCTGCCCCCACTTTTTTACCTTTAAACCCTTTCTTTTGCTCATCTTCACTGCCACCTCATCCCCTAACCTCCCAAATTTTCTATTTCAATCATCTTTGCAAATCAACGTACTAAACATTCATTTAATTAAAACATTAATCATTCAAAGAAATATATATCTTTTTTTAATTCGTTTGTTACTTTAACATCTAACTCCTCAACACTGGGCTGAAATTATCCCGAGGTTGGGCCAACGGACCCCATTCTGCATCCTCAACGTGGCCTCTTGATGACTTTGATTTGGGCTTAGATTTGTGAAATACGTACCCAAACATAAGAGAATCAGACACAATTGGGATACGGTAATCCTGCACCCAAACACCCATCCCTACAAAACCCTAATTCAAAACCATATAAAATGGGCTTGTAATCGCCGTTCCAACGAGGAGGTAAGTGTCGCAAAGGCAGAGTTGCAAACCAGAGAGAGCCTTAACGACGACACGACAGGATGCAGATCTTCGTCAAAACCCTTACTGGGAAGACGATTACGTTGGAAGTTGAGTCCAGCGACACCATCGACAATGTCAAAGCTAAGATCCAGGACAAGGAAGGTTCGATTTTTTTCCTAAATTATCTGCTTTTTTAAGCAATGTTTCTTTTTCTTCTTTTCATCGTTCTTAATGCATCTGTTTTGGATTTTAATGATTCGCGGTGCATGTTTCAGGTATTCCTCCGGACCAGCAGAGGCTTATCTTCGCTGGGAAGCAGCTTGAGGATGGGCGAACTCTCGCCGACTACAACATCCAGAAGGGTTGGTGCTATGCCTTTCATTGTATTCTCTTTCCTATTTAGAAAAATAAATCGTGCTAATAAAATTTGAGAAAATAGCGAATTATTTGTTGATTAGGTAATCTCATCCACTGGGTTTGGTTTATCTGTAAATCTTATTTTGCGACCGTCTTGGTTTTAGTTTGAATACATGCTTTGCCTGTTGATTAGCGTTTTGTATGTCATGTGACACCTGTGAGACTCGAAACTGGTTGTGGAGTTTCCGTTCTGACATCGTCAAGTTACACTTTCTGATTCTTGTAAAGAGCTAGGATGTGCTCAATTACCATCTGAAAATGTTTTCAAACTTGCAGCTATCTACTTTGGTTGCGAAGCAAATAAAGAATTTGAGTTAGTTCATACTTCACAGTTATATAATATTGCGAATAGGATCTTTTGGTATTAATAGGTCTCTAAACAATGATTTATTCCAAAATTTAGGGATGTATTTAAAACGCCTCCTGATGACTTAGATTAGTGCAGTGTTCTAAAAAGTGAAAATTGCATCCATCATTTTTCTCTTCCTTGTAGAGTCAACTCTGCACTTGGTGCTCAGGCTTCGTGGTGGTATTATTGAGCCCTCTTTGATGGCTTTGGCTAGGAAGTACAATCAGGACAAGATGATCTGCCGCAAGTAAGCTTCTATACTTTTCATTATTTATATAAAGATGTTCCGATCGGTTCTTCAAGATGGAGGGGTTTGTGGTTTTGTTTTGCAATTAAAATTATACTCGGAGTTGGTATGTGTTGGGTGGTTATCCATACCTTTTCTGTTTTAATTTCTTTAGCATTGGTTCAATTTCCAATTAAGTGTATCAACATCCTATGTCTTTAGAAGCCAAAACGTTGCATTAGAGTTAAAATTTATATACGTACGTTTGTGGTGGCTTTCTTCTTAATCATTATCAAAGGTTTCTCACGTACAATTGTATTACAACAGGTGCTATGCCCGCCTGCACCCTCGTGCTGTCAACTGCAGGAAAAAGAAGTGTGGACACAGCAACCAGGTAATTTATTGTTTCCTGGTGTAATTTTCTGATAAATCTGTAAATCTTGCTGCCACTACTTATAACCTTTTTGGGTTAATCATTGACTTGCAGTTGAGGCCAAAGAAGAAGATCAAGTAGACCATTGATTTCGAGACAGGAAAGCTATGCAAAAGTTTATGTTTTTATTTATTTTTGGGTGCATTTATGCTCAGAACTCTTTGGTTAACACTCATTAGGAGTTGGAATTGTTGTAATTTTTGTTTCTGCGACATTCTCAGTTATGGTATGTTTTGTTATTGACTTTGGAGTACCAAATCTTCGGTCATTTTATTTCCCATTAACAGCTCATTTTTGGACTCTTTCCCACTGTTAACAAGTAACTAGAATGCTAAATATTGGGACAACCATCTAAAATAATCGATAATACATTTTGACTGTGATTGGGCTTTGGGAAGAAGCAACTATACAATAATTCAAAGTATACTAAAACGTGCCACTACATGAAGATTGGGGATCAGGTACTGATCTTGCCGATGGCTTCATTTCTTGGTGAAGATATGGCTGATGGTTGAGTCCAATTCTGGTTCAGTTGGAAGTCCTTTCGGACGATGATATATAAACACCTTCATAATAATACTATCGTAGCATAATTCTTTCAAAATGATGACAAACACGTTCATAAGAGATCCCAGGAATGAAGCTGGTTTCTTTAATGCACTGATGCATCTGAAAGCATTGAACGTCCATTTTTTCTTCTGTTTGTTTCTTTTGTAAGTGCACAAACAAGGGATTAAAACATTCTACTTGCTTTGTCCATGCAAAACTCTTGAGTGCAGCTACCATGGGAACTTGGATTCATAGTAAATGTGTTACAAAGCAACTAGCAAGTCTCCAGTTTCTTGGATTAGTTCATATTAACCAACTCTAATTGGCAATCTTTAATGTCAAGCAGTTAGCTAAACCGATGAGCTGAGGGAACAGTTTCTTTGTGAAGATGTAAAGCCATGGAAAGATGGCACCTAGAATTCAAGTTGTTCGGGGAGCCAATCTGATAGTAATAAGACCGGACCTAGCAGTATTAAGACCAATATTTGTGAGCCACTTTTAGTTAACTCTGGAATCCTTTGTCATCCCTGCAAATTTAGGCACTGCAGACTGCTACACGAGGTTTAGTTCTAAGTGGATGTAGCCTAGTTTTCTCTGGAATCGTCTCATCCCCAGAAACTTAGCCCCTGCAAGTGCAAACTGCTACACGGCTGATATTCAAAGATGACACCACCATCCGACTCAAAATCGCACCATACTTGCTCCTCACTGTGGCTATTGCCGTTGCTTCTGCCTTCCAACAAATGGGTCGCTTGATGTCCTCCTCCATTCTCAGTCTTTGAATTGTTGTTCAAATACGTGACTCCATTCTGTTCCGGTTCATCTTCTAAGATTTCTAGCTTTGCTTGATTCTCATCAGCGTTTTTTCCAAAATTAGTGGAATAACATCCCTCACCAGGTTCTTCTTGAACAAGCTCGCCTAACTTTTGCAACTGTTTCAAATACCGGGGGAGTGCTTACCACTACAGTTCATGATGAACTGATGAAAATGGAAAAAGGAGTTTATGGTACCTGTGAGAGCAAGGAGTTGTTCTCTTCCTGTAAAGTTCTAAACTGAGACGCTAGATTATCATAACTAGCTCTGAGGCTCCTGAAATCGTTCTCCATCTGCTTCGACTTCCATCTTGCTCTTCTATTCTGAAACCATATAGAAATCTGGCGAGGTTGGAGTCCCAACTCGGCTGCCAGCTGCACCTTCTTCCTCGAATCAAGCTTTGAATCCGATGAATAAAATATGGACTCCAGTGACCTGATTTGTTCATCACTAAACCTTCTTTTGTTCATGTTGTTGCTCTTCTTCTTCTTCTTCTTCTTCCTCCTAGGAGTTGGACATGTCTGCGAAGAGGCTACTTCCAAATTTTGTATTTTGATGTACTCCGGTCTCTCCATAACTTTTGTTGAAACTACAAGCTCTCTCGGAAAGGATTAGAGATAAGAATATATTTATAGGGGGAAGTGTGAAACAACAAATGTTTGCATGGAAACCAATGGAGCTCAATAGCGTGTGGTTTTTTCCAGCCCATGTCCTGTGGTCGTCTGCATCCATTTTTCCCTTTTCAGCTTCAAAACTAAGCGCCACCACCACCCTCTACAGTATATTTTTTTTTTCTTCTTCAAAACCTTTTGCTATAAAGGCACTACACTACATGCTTATCCTGGCCTAGCTAGCTTCCCATGCATTGAACCCCTTTCCTTTTACACGGGCACAAATATCTGCTGTGTCTTGCATAAATATCGTAGTGATGAATTTCAATCAGAGCCTTTAATTTCAGTTTGAATGAGATCTAATATCTGGGATTGGCTATGGCTGTGTGTGGCCAAATACAGACGAAGTGAAGGTATTGTGGATATTGTTGTCAAATCCATAGCATATTTACAAAGGGAAGAGGCGGCTTTGGCTTTTGGCTGGTGTTTGATGGATGGCACGGCACAAAGCAGTGGAATTTGGGGATCCAAGACGGCGATGGATTGCCATATTTAGCAGTGAGCGTAAGGTATAAATTGGTTTCTTGTTTATTCATAAAAGGACATGGCTTGCACGCCACGGCCCTTGCGAGTTCATGACGCTGACAATCTCCTTTGATACAACGAACCAATGAAATTTCTGAGTGTCAGGGTGCCGTTTTGGGAAACACCCAAAAAAAGAAAAGGAAAAAGAAAAAGAAAGATAGCTTAGTTTGGTAGTAAGGTCTTGTAGGCAGCAGGAGAAGGTGGCTTTGAATTTTGAAGCTTTGGCTGGCTAATACTTCGAGGGAACTTAGTGATGGTTTCAAAATTGATTTCAAAATGAATGATAAAGCATCACGCTTTGAAGCGTAGGCATTGCATTGAATGAAGATAAGATAATTAGTTACTGGGTAGGAGATTGGAGTGAAGTTTCTGTGAGAAGGAATGAGTTCTGAAAATCCATGTTCTTCATTGCTCGAAGCCTCCCTCCTCCGCCGCCGCTGCAGCCTCTACCCCAACCCCAATCCCCGTTTTCCGATTACCATCCTCTTCCTCATCAACCTCTCCGGCAACAAGAAAACCCATCACGACGTGGGGGCTAATGCCTTCCAACGTGGTGAGGGCATCTTGGTCGGTGTAGAACAGGCTAATATCCGGAAGGGGTATGCGGCGGTTTGTGATTCCTGTTTATGAAGCTCGTCAAGGAATCCGAGGAGGAGGGAGGAGTAGGGGGTCCAACCATTATAATCCTCTGCCCCCGCTCCGGCTTACCCTGAACTGAGGTTCCAGAAATGCCCCCACATCTCTTCTTCTCTTTTCTCCTCTTTATTCCTCCTCCATTCCTTCTTACTTACTTTCTTTCATCGTCTTCTTCACATTCAACTTTAGTTTGCTCACTGCTTTCTATCTTCGGCTTAATAAAGCATTCCCACCTACCAAACAGCCTCAACAAATTGAGAAATACACATGGATGTTAGGTTCAGCTTCAACCCACCTTCACCAAACTCTTCATTTTCCTAAACTTGATTCAAACCAACTCCAACCCTGCGCACCATATTCCTTTCACCAACAATTCAACAAAAAACATTGAACCAACCAACACGTGAACTCTCAGGGAAAGTTCCATCACTGTTTTCCCTATCAACTTCTGTCTCCTGGGTTATGCATCTGCATCTACCATCTACCATCTACCATCTCTATGTGCTAACTATGTAGCAGCAGAATGATAATGAAAAAACACAAACACACAGCATCCAGAATGCAGAATGTAGATGATCAAAAACAAATGACTAAAGCGAGGAGGTTGATTAAGAGAGTTTCCAGTTAGAAACATTGAAAGCAAGTTCCAAGTGTTCCCAGGGACCAACCCTACAGAATCCATCAGTCCATCCATCATAACATCGTCACAGATAAACGACTACGAGCCTCAAAATGCCATCCACTCTATAAAAAAAAAAATTAAAAAAAATTAAAAAAAAAAAAAAAAAAACTAGACAAATATCTCATTCACCAACAACACCTAGTTCTAGGTACACCAAAAGGTACCAACTCAACTCCACTGCAGAGGATCATGCACCACCAAACCCCACAACCCCTTTGGACATATCTCTATAACCATAATATATATATGCAATATATATATATATATAAATATATCTATTGGGCACTAGGCCCACATGGGATAGAAGCAGGGAGCATCAGTTCAGCTGGGCACGAGGAGAGCGAGGGCGAACTGGGGTCTTTGATGGGCTTACCCTGAAAACAAAACCCATAAGAATCAAAACGGTTTTACTCCTTCAAACAAAATCACAACACGTTTCTCAAAATACCCAATACCAGAAAAGGAAACAAGAACAAGCTATACTAACCTTATTGGCAGGGAACCCAACACCACTCCACTGCAATTAAGTGCAGCAATTGCACTCTCAGCCTGCAAATTAAAAATAAATGCAATACTGTTACGCAAAGTCATGGTGAAGTTACAGCCAAACACGACTTCATTCATGTAACTGCATGGGTAAACACCCATGTCTCTAGAAAGTCTTTTAGGGCATAGCTAATGCTTTGTTATTCACAAACATGAAAAACAATAATCACTCAAATGAAAAACAATCAATCTTTGACGATTTAATAGATGATATATGCATTACAAAGATATTAGAAATTGCTCGACAGATGTGAATGCAGCATCTTAAAGCCATCACTCAAGTGCTCTCCATTCTATATGCCACAAAACTAACGATGTATTGGTGAATGATAACTACAAGAATCACAACAGACTTGTTGATAAGGCAAACCACATCCATTATTAAGTTTACATATAGATATAACAAGTAAAGCAGTACTCTAAATGCATTCTGTACCCCATAAAAGCAAAGATGCATTGATGGATGGTAAATGCAAGAACCACACATCAGATTTAGTTGATAATTGTTCTTGATCAAAAAAATGTGAAGGAAAGATCCCACTGAATTGAATTGGATCCATGGATCTAAGAAATAGTGAGAATTCTTGATCTCTCTCGGTTCAAAAATCCAGAATTTGAATTGATGGCTGTTCATTAATCAAGTCAATCAAACTAGGCAAGTTTGTCTTGCTTGCCGTCACCCCCGTTTTGGCGTGAGTTTCTTCTGGGTTAGGAAGTAGCAAACCAAATTCATCCTCACCACCCCTCTAATAGTTGAAAAGGCAAACCATGTCCATCCTCATCACTTCTCTAATGCTCAATCTCCAACCCCCACCCCCACAAAAGGAAAAGAAGAAAGAAGTGTAAAAAAAAAAAAAAAAAAAAAGCAATAAAATCAACGGAAGTGAACAAGATTACCATGGTAAACTCAACAAAAGCTATACGAGTGGAATGATGATAATCTCCAAGTAGCCTAAGGCGCTGAACCTACACAAGGTTAACAGATTACGTAGATTAAGCCACAACCAGAAAACATAAAAGCGCTGTAAAGAGAATCAAATAAAATTCCGAAGAAATAAGACATCTGTTAAACGAAGAAGAACAGACCTCTCCACATAGTGATTCAAAGAACAGCTTGACCTCTGCTTGAGTAACCTACATGACATCACATGCCATGAAAACAATCAATATAACAATCGAGCATATTTAAGTTCATTCATTCTCTCCTCTTCCAAAAACACAGTTCTCAAATTCATTCAGAAAGTTTTTCACTTGCCCTACCTTCTTGTCAATATTTGTACAATAGATAGTTCTTGAGCACATCTCACGTTCATCATCCGACTAGAAACAATAAAACACAAGAAAATCAGTTTCAAGAAAAGAAGTACAATAAATTAAAATGAGTTGATAGCATTGCTAGGAACAAATTAGAATGGATAAAAAAAAATGACGGAGTGACATTGAAGACGGTTAATTACCCTGGGTAAAAAGTCAGGATTGACAGGTGCTATGGCAGTTTTTGAGGGCAGCACTCTAACTGGATAGAAACCAAGAACTGTCCCTGAAAGACTCAAGGAAGCTCTTGCACCCTCTGCTAGCATGAAGCAAATTAGATATGATATAGTCGGAAATACATCTAAATATACTGAGCTTGGGAGTGTACCTTCATCCGTGAACTCAATGAAGGCAAAATGAAGAATGGAGTTGGGATCACCGCAGATACGACAGTCAACAACCTATTGAAGATACATCACATTAAGCTAGCAGTAAAATGCCAAAAAAAAAAAAAAAAAAAAACAGATCAAATGAAAGGAAAGAGAATAACCCGCTACCTCTCCACAGCCAGCAAAGACAGTAGCAAGTAGCTCTTCAGTCACCTACAATGCAATTCCATGGTCCAAAAATGGATTGGTCAAAAAGGAGAAGTGCAAGGCATATAATCAAGGGAGTTTTGGAAATGGAGGTCTCTTACCTGCTGATCGATGTCTGATACATAGACCGTCCTCCGGGTCATCTCATCCCTCTTCACCGCATTCATCTTATTATTCATCCTCCTTCTCCCTTGGCTAAAACCATTCTTCTTCTAAGCGAAAAGAATAAAGGAAACAAACAAGAGAAACCAAATCAATAGTAGATTCATTCAACACAAAATAGATTTCTCTAAAATCTATAGGTGCTAAAATGTGCAATCAAATAATACATAATCAAGCTGCTCTTCTAGCAGGTTAACAGCACTACAAAATAAAAAAAAAACACTTCAATGTTCAAAAACTCCAACACCCGACCCTACAAAACCATCATGTAATCTTGAGGGTTTTTGTAGTACAGAAATCAAAGCGAGGTGCACGGCATTCAAAGTTTAGTAATAGTATAAATAACAGTTCGACGTCTTTCAAATCATCCAAAATCCCCACATACCCTTCGATTCATATGCCCTTCGTTGTTGACAGAATTAGCTTGCAATAGAAAGTCGTTAGTATACCCAAGCCCACCAGCGCCGAAGTAACCAGACAAATTTTTAGCAAGCGAAGGAGGGATAAATTCCTCAGCCATGGGATTCAATTTGGATAGTAAGTCCTCCAGATCGCTCATGTCCCTCTTAAAGTTTTCTCCTCCATCCGCTCCATTTATCACTCCGTTAGGCCTCTGATTCATCCCATACCCGGCAGCAGACTTCACCATCAGCGTCTGGGCATTAGCTTCAAACCCGTTGGGCATCTGAGGCATTTGAGGCTTGAAATTGACTGAAGGAAGTGAAAAGGAAGCAGCGGTAGCTGCTCTCTCCTGAAGCTGTGCCTTCATCTGTACATCGTGATCATTGCCGTTGGAATGAAAGTCGGGTTCTCCATTCATGGGGACCGTAGAATCGCTGTTGGGCTTCTGAGTCTCAACATCGTTGGGGTCATTAGAATCGGAGGAAACCATGGTATTTTCCAAAGTTTGACTTGGAGAACCGATTTTGGGTCCAACATTCTCAGGAACCGCCATGATAAGAGAAAGAGTAGGGGTGAAAAGGCGGTTGTTTTGCAGTGTTATTCTGAAAATCAATTGAATCGTATGATCAGAAAGGAGAAAAACGAAAAAGCGGGGAAAGAAGTGGGGGATGGGTGTTACCTGAGGGGAGGGCAGGGGTTATGTATCTAACACATTTCCATTGGTAAAGGAGTGAAGGCAGCAGGAGATCGAAGTGAGGGAGCAGAAGCAGAATTGAAGAGGATCGAACAGAGAAGGAAAACCCCTGTGCGCGAATTAAGAAAAGGTAAGGGTGGTGTTGTTGCTATGAAAAAAACAAGAGAGAAAATGTTAATGGGTTGTAAGGGTGGGGGGGGGGGGGGG